GCATAGTGGTGATGGTAAAACACAGTGGGATTCATGACTAAGTTACATCCTGACTTAGCACTATTAAAAAATTAAGTCGACATATGGGTGGTAGAACAGGGGACTCTGATAAATTCAATCCTCCCAAACCATATGATGAAATTATAGGATGTAAGAACAGGTAACAGAAACAATGAAGTGTTAAGGGTTATTCCTTGTAGTCTTTTAAGTGACTTCATTCACAACTTAAAGAGGGTGTAAAACCCATGAGTAGCGGATATTCAACTGAGGGTGACCTATTAACAACTTGTAAAGGAAGTAAAAAAGAAATGTTTATATTCCTTTGCTTCTTTAGGAGGTGTGATAAAATTCATTAATTAGTTTGAGAGAATTATAGATCCTTGACCATTGGTTCAGTCATGCAAAAGAGAGTCATTTCTAGCAATTGTGAAGTTAGCTATGGAAGAACTGATCTCTTCAGAAGTAATCATTCATTGCCTTTTTCATATACCTCTTCCAAGTGCTGGGTAGTGGGGAGGGGAGAGGAACATATGAGGATATAATGGCATTTTGTGGTGCAGCAACTCTCCCAGATGCTATGTCTGGAAGAAAACAGGCCCAAGAGAGTTCAGATGGAGAGTCTAGTTGAGTTGCAGGAAGGAGTAGGCACAATGAGTTCCTTCCCTTCATTCTCTATTGTTTGGCATATATTCTAATATGTACATTTTCTCTGATTTCTATTTTACTATTGACTTGGGTAAATGGGTTTGTTTTCGGTTTTGGTTTTTTTTTTTTTTGCTAATTGCTATGGATATGCTCATTGTGGAAGTGGTATTTGGTCAGAAGCAAGTTAATCCTTGGTTATAAAGCTTAGGTGCTCTTTCCCCCATTTAGAGACAGAACCTGAAAATCACATTACTGAGATTAACAATATTTAAGGGAGCAGATAAATATAATTCTAGCCTGGCATTGGAGTAGCTAGGTAACACAATGGATAGAGTGCTGGCCCTGGAGTCAGGAAGATTCCTTGGTCTCAGACACTTACTAGCTGTGTGATCCTGGGCAAGTTACTCAATCCTGTCTGCCTCAGTTCCTAAACTGTAAAATGAGCTGGAGAAGAAAATGGCAAACCACTCCAGTATCTTTACTAAGAAAAGCCCAAATGGGGTCACAAAAAGTTGAACACAACTGAAAAATGACTGAACAACAAAGACAATCCTGACATTCCCTTTCTCTAAGTAGAGCAGAATGGCCACACTTCTGGTCCCAAACTCTTGAAAAAAGGTTGGGGGAGAAAATGGTAGAGATGACTACTCTCACTCTCTTCAGGCAACACAGTGAGACCCTCATGCTACATGTAGGTAACAGCCCTTGTTACACACATAGGCAGAATAGAGGATTCCCACTAGTAATGCTCCCTGTCCAATGATACCAATCTACTTACTTCTTTTAGTGCAGTTTTAAGTTTTAATAATTTTATTTTTGAAGCAAATCCATGAACTTTCTAATGCCTGAAATTCGTTTTAAAAGGAACAGATTCTTGCATTTCACAATTATATTGCTAGATGCCTTACAATAGAAGTAACACTTGAATTTGAAGAGTGTTTATTTTCTCTCTTCCCAAATTCCCACCCACCCCCCACACAACCTCTCTCCACCAATAATTAATTGCCCGTAGTCTGAAGAACAAAAGGAGTATCAATAGAGCACTGATGATAAAGCCACATTTTTTTGCCTCCCCCTATTACCCACTTTGGAAAGACTGAGAGTGTACTACAGACATGATAAAGACCTGGTGAGAATAAAGGAACACATTCTCCCTTTCTTTGCTTTGCCCTTGTGATATCTGTCAGCCATCTTGCTCAGGGAAAAAAGAGAGAAGCTGTAGGCTTTGCATCTTTTGTGCTTGAGATTGGGGTATGCAGGGTGTTCAGGGAGGTCTAGCACCTCTAGTGTGAGAGCTTGTGGAGCCCTCCTCAGGGCTGCTCTTCTGCTTTTGGCATCCAACCGGCACGCAGCTCTCACCTTGGCTCCAAGAAGCTGTGGTATGCCCAGCAACCACATGCTAGTAAAACTGTCTTGGCAGATGGGATACACCAGGTTGAGGGTAATTGATAGGTCTCAACTCTGTCAGTGAGTTAGTGGGGTTATCTATCTCAAGCATGTGAAGACTTCCCCTGACGAAATGGGCAGATAAGAACAATTTGTTCCAAGAGCCATGAAGGCAGCTAAAGCAGGCACTGTGAAGCACTTAGAGCTTAGTTGAGCACTGAGCACACCAAGGTCTTCCACTGCCTCTTGGGCCATCACCAGTCGTCTTGACTTTTGTCTTGCCACTGCACTTTGATGGTTCTGAAAGAGCGTGAGGCTGATGCTGACTTTGTGCAACTCTGTCTCACTTCCAGTTCATGCACACATCAAGACATCACCCCATGATGCCATTGGTCCTCTACGAAAATGGAGGACAAAACAACAACAACAACAGCTTGAGACCAAGAATTTTTGAAGGACAAATGGGAACATATGCAATTAATCTTGCTATAGCTCACATTTCAAAGAGTGACTGGAAATTTGAGATCACATGAGGAACTGGAGAAGAGACTGTCATGTAGAGGGTTAAGGCCCAGAAAGAATCCAATCAGGGACCAGCATGGAGGGACAAATTCAAACTAAATGTCAAAGATAGGGAACTTCTAAAAAAATCAGAAAATGAAAAGGTTGGGAAATGGATCCACCTTCTAGTACTCCACCTAATTTCTCCATTGTTTTCATTGTTGGTCTGTAGCCTACATTCAGGTCCTAGAAACTAGTACCAATTCCCTTTCTATAACCTGTAACTAAGGGGAAAGTTTCCAGTATGTAACTGGTCAAAGCACCAATGTAGTATGCTGAAACTTTTTCCCTTGCATCTTTTTTTATGTTAAATGAAATATATGGCTACAGAAAAATAATAACCTTTTTAATATAAATAAAGAAGGTTGAGGCTGACCTAGAAAATTTTCCAGTTGTAGGGTAAGGGCCTTAATGTTACAAATTTTCCTGTTTTAACATTCCTGAGCAATATTTTCTATTAACCTCTAGGTAACAATTCAGAAATCAGCCAGTAAGGATTTCTTTCTTGCTCAGCCACGTGAAGCCATTTGGCTGGGCAGTGTAGGAGACTCACACGGGGGCATTAAAGAGAATATTTTGTCCATGTGAAAGAGAACCTGACAAGAGCTCTGGGACTATTGCCTAAGTAAAGGGTCATCTGATAAGAACATTAAATATTACCCCTCCTCCCTGGTTAATTAATAAGGTGACAAATAGGCCTTTTCAACAAGCTTATAGTGCAACACTCCACCCACTGTTGGCTGTTTATACTATTGCAGTTAATTAAAGTACAGTAAAGTATAGTATGTACCCCAAATGTTACATGGAATACCCCCAAAGGCACAAACCCTTTATATCTATATCACGTAAAAACACACCCATGTATAGGGAATGTCTGAGTACAGCATCAAAAATTTGGAACAGCACATTATCTAAATTGTAATAACTATGGGAGTTCCAGGGAGCATGGCACAGGGAAGAGTGTATTCTTCTGGTTTTTTTGTTTTGGTATTTTGGTTTTGGGGGGTTTTTTGGGTCTTTTCATATATCTCACATAGGCTAGGGCTTTGTGCACAGTTAGGTGCTTAATAATTGCTTTGTCAAATTGTATTGAACTGAATGGCATGACATTTTGCTGCATTGCTACAACACCAAACCATGTGAAGTCATTTTAATCCATCCTGAGATATTCTTTGGAGGTTTTGTAGAGATTTTCAAAGCATTATGTCTTCTCTTAGCAAGCTCTGTCACTTCCTGGCAGCTGGGAGGAGGTAAGTTTAATCCTCCCAAGAATGATTTCATTCACTTACAAATGTTAAGCATCACCCCCTCTTCTCTCTCACCACCTCACATTCTTCATCAATCTTTATAACTCATGTGAAAACAAATCTTTTCTGCTATTCGTTTGCTTAAAATTTACAATCACTAAAAAAAATAAAACCTTTTAAACTCCAAAATGTTTCAGGGGCATAGTTTAAGTAGAAGGCGAAAAGACACTGAGAACAGTCAAGACAATACTTGACTGTTTAAGGAAACATGTGTCCCTGAATTTGGTGTGAAAACAAATACAACAGAAAGACCTATCCACTTTAATAAGCACTAAACAGGAATATGTTGTTTTTGTGTGTGGTTCTGAGATCAGTTTGTTTGAATGATAAGAGCAGAGTAGGGGAGTTCATTTAGTCATCATCATGTAGGGTTGCACAACTACCACCAAGAAACTGGAACAGATTCTCATGTTGCCTGATTTTTGTGTAGAAGATGGCAGACCCAATGGTCTTTTTTCCCATGCTCTAAAAAAGAGCAGGGTATGGCATCCCCTCAGTAATGTCTTATTGTTCCCTAAAGCAGACCAACCTTTCATTCATGAAATTTCTCACATGATGTATTCTTATCCTCAGTCTTCACAGGACATTCTTCTCATAGAAACATATGGGTCAGAGTTAGAAGAGATCTTAGAGGCCATCTTCACAATTTTGCTTCAACCTGTTTTATTTCACATTATTTCCACCACATACTCTACAATCTAGCCAAATTGGACAGGCGGACCCCGTGCCTTGAATGCACTACCTCCTCACCTCCAACTCATATTTTCTAACTCCCTTCAAAGCAAGGTCTTACCTGGTCCACCTCAGTTCTTCGAGCTCTTTCTATGCTATATTCCCTGTTAGAATGTATGCTCCTTAAGGATAGGTACTATTTCACTTTTGCCTTTGTCTCCCAATGGGGGCCATTTGCAGCTACCCTGATCTATATTTTATCGCTGGGCCCTGATGGCTTCAGAAGAGAAAGTGAGACTGGTGACTTTGCACAGCTCTCCCTCACTTCAATCCAATTCACTTATTAGTCATGGCATCGCCTTCCTGATGTCATGATGCTCTTCGAGAACCAAGGACAAAAAAACAACAATTTTTTCAATATTACTTCGTATTTCTTATCTGTTTTCATGTACCGTCATTGGATGTAAGTTCCTTGAGGGCAGAGGCTTTAAAAAGATCACTCATCTCCAGGACATGGGACAGTGCTTTGCACACAGTGGTTACTTAATACATACATGCTTCTTGAATTGAATTAAATCTAATAGAATCCACGTAGATGAAAAACATGAGGATCTCAGAAGTGAGGGGTCTTGGCCAAAGCCGCACAAATATATGTAGGCAACACAAGATAGTGGAAGTCATGAAGTCAAGGAAACCTGGGTTCAAATCCCACCTAGCAGTGTCGTGGTGGGTCTGTTAATGTCTCTGAGCTTCAATTTCCTCACCTATAAAATGAGTATGGTAACTGTTAACATCTGACTCACAGGATTGTGGTGAGATTAAAGTGTGATCGCACAAGATAATTCATGTAAAGTGACATGGAAAGATTAGTTATTATTGTTAGCAGAGGCATGATAAAAATATATATGCCCTTGGCAAAATCTACACAACTTTGTCTATGGTGAACTATCAAGAATTAGAAAAGTCAACATTGACTTAAGTACTAACTACAGGACATGGGGTTTCCTATGTAGAATTAGAACCCTTAGGATGATTATAGGATAGGAGGAGAAGGGGCAGGTATCTGCCTGGGTAGGGACTCAAGAAGGGAGCTCATTGGTTGATATTAGGAAAGATGAAAAGATCAAAAGTTTGTATACATAAACCACTCACTTAAATGAACAGATGTCGTCTGACTCCAAATTGAAAGCCTTTTCTTCTTCACCATGCTCTGTGTTTTCTTAAAGAGAAAGAAAATTAACCATGATAAAATAGAACTATTGCCAGCATAACAATCAGCTACATTGATCAAGCATTTTAAAGTTAGCAAAAAGATTTTCTCCCAACAAGTTTTGGAGAGAAGTCCTGACAGCATCATTATTCTCATTTGAGGCACCCGGTTTGATACAGTATGAATAGAGAAGTGGGCCTGAAGTCAAAAAGACCTGAGTTTAAATTTAGCTTCATGCACTTACTAGTTATGTGACTTTGGACAAGTCGCTCAACCTCTGTTGCCTCAGTTTCCTCAACTGTAAAATAGGATAATAATAGTTATTTACCTCTCAGGGTTGTTGTGAGGATCAAAAGTGAGAATATTTGTAAAGCATTTAATGCAGTGCCTGACACATAGTAAGTATGCTAGCTCATAATCATCATCATCATTTTATAGAGAATCAGAAAGCCTAAGTAGCTTGTTCTGGTTATAGAGCTGTAATATCTAGTTAATTAAAAATATTTTTCTTACCTTCCACAATCCATTCTATTATCCAAACCATAATCAAAACATCAGGTAAGCAGATAAGTATAGGAGCCCTAACAGTGATTGCATCCCCTAGCATACCAACCCTGCTTCCAGCCCAGCCCTCACAGTCATCATTTAGGGAGGCAGCTCCTATGAAAAGGCGGCCAGCCATCACCACTAGCTGCCTCAATTGCTACTCACAAGCTAGCAATCCAGTTTGACTCAAATAAGAAAACATCCTGATAGAGAAACAGGAGGCCAGACAAGTCAAACAACCACCATCACTTTGACCACCATCTCCTCTCACAGCCCAGTGGAGACAGCCTATGGTCCTGACACCAACAGACTTGACAATAGCAATGCCTCCAGGCCAGTGCACTCAGCCATCATCCTGGAAAGCAGTCCCTAGGGAGATTGAGTCCCACAATTGTGCCTGCAGGTGCTGATTACATCTATTGAAGACACAGAAAAGTCTTGCAATCAAAGTCTTTGACACTGTCACATGGGTCAGCATCAGAAACTGAAATGACTTTTATCTGTGGAAATGATGTTAAAGAAGTGAAATTTAACATCTGCTTTGTCACAACATCATGGGACCTTTGGTCTCATTTGCAGCTGAAACCTTACACATAGTCTTTTCCATTAGAATGTGAGCCCCTTGAGAACAGACTATCTTACTTTTCCATGTGTATTCCCAGAATTTAGCACAGTGCCTTGCACATAGTAAGTGCTTAATAAATGCTTTATTCACTCATTCATTAAAAGAAGACTGATATTTTCAATATATCACCCCTCCGCCATACACATATACACAATTTTTATTTTCCACATATATATTTATATAATGTATAATCATCCACCATTATCTTTGGTCATCTCTTTTGTTTGAAGAAGAATCTGCTTCATGAGACTTTTGTCAGTAAAATGTCATTCTCTTAACTCCTATTTTGTGTTTTTTTCTTAGGACTTCGACCTTGTGAGAGGATCAACTCCACTCCAGACAGCCCCAAAGTCTGCAAATGGAACGTAATTCATTTGATGCTGCCACACATTTCAGTGTGATGAAAGAATCTGATAAACTCTTGTGTTCTGACACCCAAGGCCATTTTACAGAGCCAGACCAGTAAGCTTCAAATATATTTAAAAGAGTCAAGGTGCTGACTGTCCGATGCAATATTCCACCTGCACACTGTCCCATCTGGGGGTGTGGAGGATAGCCTAGGCTACACTCCCTTGAAACATCTAATATCTAGGAGCTGCAGTCCATAATGCTGGTGATTTAAGAGATGGCACTGAGTCAGGACTAAACCATAATGGAGAGAGCTTTCATACTAGACATAAAGCTGATGTCTGACCTTTGGTGATTATGAAAGCTTTCTCACCACACAAGGAGGCCAAAGAAATTTCCCAGGTGATTTCATTTGGATCTCAGATCCAGGGCTCAATTGTTTTGGAATGTTGCTATGCATTGTTAAACAGCTGCCACATTTCAGCCAAGAGGTGGCTGCATTTCAATGGTGGGTGAAGTAATTCCTGTTTATATATGCAGTCGCAAAAGAGTTTTGGAGCCCTTTGGCATGCCAGGCATTTTATAATACATCATTAGTTATTTCTAACAATAGTCTAAGAAGGATGAGGGCTCTCTCACACATATACATACTTTGAAAGGTGATAGTCAACCAGAAACAACCTCTGAGGTATTCTCTTTTATCCAGTTGATTGGAGCACAGCTGAGAATGTCACTTTAATGGTGAAACAAATCTTGAGGTAATTTCTTGGAATGCGTATCTGATGAGACCAGACCAAAAAACGGGAGGGGGAAAAGCTGAACAATAATCTACATATCTGGTGGCCCAGAACGATGGCAGCCAGCCCTCTGGAAAAGAAAAGTCTGTTTTTGAGGCATGTGCTCATTGCGGTCATCACGGGCCGCTAAATCCAGGTTAGTGAAGTAATAACATTATTGCTTTGCAAACTCTAGCCACAGAAACAAAAAAGGCTAAATGACATTTGGATACTAATCAAGGACTACCCATTTTCTCCATAAGTGCTAGAATTCAGATACGAGACTTCTTAGTAACTAGACTCATTTTACAAGTGGCATCAGCAAATGGGATGAGCTTGTCACTCTTCAATTCATTTTCCAAATGGGGGAAAAGGCAGAGTTTGAGAAACTTGTTCAGTGTCCCAGGACACAATGGAAAACTCCAGGATATAAACCCCTTTCTTGACTTGAAACCCTCTGTGCTGTCCATATTCTAAGGGAAGCTATCCCCTGTGCTTCTACTCAAGATTAGTCCTACAAGTTATAGTAAATTGATCAAAAGCAAACACACACATGTATACACACAACCACATATAACAAACAAACTCACAAAAATAGGGATGAAGGCTTCTACTCACTCTCCTATGTCAAGTGCTAGATTCTGCTATTTTATTCCAGAACGATTACCTAGAGGAAAAACAAATTTACAAGGAAAAATGTTATCACACCAAATTAATCTTTGTAAAATAAGTGAATCTGTTGTTTCCTGTGAATGTCTCAATCCTTGATTTTCAGAGATTTTTTGGATGGATACCGTTCTTTAAAAAATTGTTATAGACTTACGACGTTTGGAACCAGAAGTAAGCTTATTACCATTATGGACTTTTTCGTTGTTATTGTCGCTGTTCAGTTGTTTTAGTTGTGTCTAATTCTTCATGACCTCATTTGGGGTTTTCTTGGCAGAGATACTGGAGCGGTTTGCCATTTCCATCCCCGGCTCATTTTACAGTTGAGGAAACTGAGGCAAACAGGGATAAGTGACTTGCCCAGGGTCACACAGCTAATAAGTATCTAAGCCAGATTTTAAACTCAGAATGTCCTGACTCTAGGCCCAGCACTCTATCTGCTGTGCCACTTAGATGCCTATTATCTAGTCTACCCCATTCATTTTACATATGAGGAAATGGAGTCCCATAGAGGGAAAAGGACTTGGGCAAGGTCCCCCAAGTAGCATGCAGTAGAGCCAGAATTTAAATACTAGTCTTCTCACTCTAAGTTTTGTGTTCCTTATAATGCACTACCTTACACTGATTCTTCATTTAACTAGGTTGAAAAACAACAGCAAAAACAAATTTCTGGGCCCTTTTCTATTTCAAAATAGCATAACATCATGTGAGGCTTTACAGTTAAACCTTAGCTGGAATTGCAGTTGTTAGTCTCATTTACTTAATTTACCAATATGTTTTGTTTTGAAATGAGGCACTTTGCAACTAACACCCAAACAGACCTTCACAAAGAACGATACTCCTAACACATTTTTTAAAGAATGTATGTGTTAACAACGACAAAAAATCAGGGATGTGCCCTTTAAATTGAACAATGTGGTACTACCATAAACCCTTGTATTTGACCAAATTTTCATTGCTTCTCTATGCTATTGTAGACAATGTGAATATTATATTTTTGGCTTTGCTTTCTTCATTCTGAATAACTTCATAAAAGGCTACTTGTGCTCAGAATTCTTCCTATTTTTTCATTCCTTATGGCTCAGTGATATTGCATTACATTCCTAGAACATAATTAGTTCAACTAGCCTGCAATCGCTAAGCTCATATTTTGATTCCAGCTTTTCCTTATCACAAATAATACTGCTATAAATACTTTTCTTCATGAACATTTTATTGCTGTCAATAACCTCCTAGGGATATAATTATAAGAGTGGAAAATCTCTAGTTCATGAGCTATGAAAAATTTAGCAACTTTTCTTATATAATTCTAAATTATTTCATAGAATTGTTAAACCAACTCACAAGTTTGTCAACCACGAATAATAGTAATTATTTTATTTTATATTTTAATAATTTTAATAATATCTGCATTCATATCATTCTTTAAGGTTTACAAAGCATGTTATAAATATTTCCTCATTTGAGCCTCATAACAGCCCTAGGAGGTAGGTGCTATTACTATCCTCAATTCATAGATGAAGAAACGAAAGCTGACAGAGCTTTAGTGATCTGCCCAGGGTCATATGACTAGTTTCTCAGGTTGGATTTGAATTCAGTTCTTGAATTCAAATTTCTCATATACAGGTTTGGTATCCAAAATGTATAGATAGTAAACATATACATCTAAATCTATATTTATATCCATATCTGCATCTATATATACATATACTTACAGTTATGTAGTTGTACAGGGACACATAAATATGCATGCACACATGCACACACATGTAAATATATGGGCACATATACATACACATGTGTGTATGAACAAACATAAATGTGTATACATATAAACCTTTCCCCAAAAGATAAATGGTCAAAGGATATGAATAAGCAAGTCTCACAAGAATTGTAAACTATTCATATGCAAACTAAATCATATGCAACTAAGTTCAATTGCAAACTAAATCACATGAAGGAACACTCCAACTTGTTAATAATAAGAGAAATGCACATTGAAACAAACCCAAAAGTTTTACCTTACAAACTGCAAATTGATGAAGATGACAGAAAATAGGGATAGTTGATGTTGGAGGGGTTGTGGAAAGATAGGGACACTATTGCATTGTTGATAAAGCTGTGTGTCATTATCTTCACTATGGAAATCCATTTGGAGCTATACAAAGAAATAAAATGTCAATATCCTTTAACTCAGTTTCCACTACTCAGCCTACATTCCAAAAATGGCTAGGATAAAATCCCACATACATGTCAAAATATTTTTAGTAGTACTTTTTTTGTGATAGCAAAGGATTGGTAACAAAGTAGAAGAGCATCAGTTGGAGAATGGTTAAACAAAATATGCATGTGTTTATATGAATATGCTATGTTACTGGGCTATAAGAAAAAGGATATGATGAATACAGAAAAGCATGGGAAGATTTACATTGGCTGATGCAGAATAAAGCAAAGTCAAGAAAATTATGTTTTATATATATATATATATATGTATATATATACACGTATATACGTATATAATACATATATATAACTATAATAATGCAAATAAAACAATCCAAAAGTGAATGTTGCACAATTATAAAGAATAAGCATGGCTTGAAAGAAGAAATATAAAAAGACACATGCATGAGTCTGGTACATTACATGTATTTTCAGAATTTTTCAATGTATGGATCAATGTTGCTTATTTTTCTTTTTTTTCTTTAAAATATCAACTATAAGAATTGATCTCTCAGATAGAGCAGGTGGCAGGAGAGATAATGGGAAGAATTTTGGTGATGTAAGAAACACCAAAAGATATCAATAAAAATTTATAAACAATTTCAATTGTTCAGTGAGAAATGCAGCTTTGACAAGTAATAAACCATGTATTTGTGGACATGTGCTTCTCTTTCTTTGGGGGAAAACTGTCTCTAATATAAAAGAAAATCATACATTTAAATTCAATAGACCTTTTAAAATCACCTGTTTAAAGGAAAGAAAGTGACAGGTTTCTGAAAATATTAATAACACACAGAATAAATATTGTAAAAATGCCACATGAACTGAGATAGGATTAAGATAATCATCTTGAATATTTCATAGCATATCGGGTACTAAAATAGGCAGGTATGATATGGGGTGACTATTATGCTCAGGAAAGAATTTCCTTCTGAGATCTCTGCAAGGGGTTATCACTAGCCTCCAGGAAATGCAAGTAAACATCCAATGGCAGAGGTTAGCCCATGGGATTGAAATCAATTGTTCATGTGGACACTCACTGAGAACAATCCCTGTCCAGTTGGGCTGTTGATATGACTTATCAGCCCTCGGCTTTCACCTCCTGTGAATATTTATTACTTTGTGTGTCCACCTTTCATGTGGGAGTGGGAGCTCTCCTTCCTTTTTCTGATTGGTGTTTCTTTGTTGTGTCATATGTTTTTGGAGTCAGTTTAATCCTTTATTTTCCATTCTTTTTCCCCCTTTATCAAATAAACTTGCTAGGAAGTCCTAACTATGAACAATAGAGTAGCTTATGGTGTATGGGAATTTAATTTCTCCTACTGGGGTCACAGAGACACAGCTTCTCTAACTCATTTACTAAATGAGCATTTAAAGTCATAAGACACTTGCAGTGTGCATAATAATAAGGAAAATAAGAATAGTAATAGGTCTTTGTATAACACACTTTAAGGGATTTTATTCATGATTTCACTATTAAATTTAACTATTCACAAAACCACACAAAATCAACTTGAAAAAACAATAGGAGGAAATAAAGTTACCTTTTTTTCAATGTAAAAATAAACTCCTGTTCAGATCTTCATTTCCTGCTTGGGGAGGTGAGAGGCAGAATTGAGTGTTTTGATTAGTTAACTGGCTAAGGTCTGGCTGCCATTTTGTGCTTCTCTCCTACCCCCTACCATGTACCCTTTCAGTGATTGGATGGATAAAGAAACAGAATACATAAATGAATGAACTGATGAAGCAGCATTGATTAAGTCACTCTATGTATTGTTGATGCAAAGACAGAAAGGAAAACAGTTCCCATCCTCAGCTCCAATTAGAGGAGAACAACCCATCCTGTCTGGGGAATCCGAGGTAACAGGTATATGATCGTATTAAGTGTTTTGAATTAACTATGATTGGCTTAAGTGTCACAGTTTGGTGTGCAGTTCCATCACCATGTTGTAAATGAATGAATGAATGAATGAATGAATGAATGAATAAAACGTGTACTGAAATGTTTACTATGTGTCATGTATAGAGCTAAGCACTGAGTATACACAAACACAAATTAAAGCAAACCTTGCCCTCAAGGAGCTCACATTCTAATAGATCAAGATAACCCTTACGGGAGCAGGGTGAGTGGGAAGGAAACAAGTATTCATTAAGTGTTATGTTCCAGGCGCGGCAGTAAGTGCTTTACCAAGATGATCTTATATTACCCCCACAACAACCTCATGAGGTCAGCATTATTATGATACTCATTTACATTTGAAAACACTGAAGCAGACAGAGGTTAAGTGACTTGTCCAGGATCACACAGCTATGAAATGCCTGAAGTCAGATTTCAGTGGTGATCCCAAACAGATGCTTTGATCTGAGAAGTCACCGGGATGGAAAGAGGTATGCTATTTGGCAGTCCATCCAAATGGGCAGAATGGCACCTTTGTAGGAATTGTCATTTGTATGTCTAATGGTAGACATCATCCAAACAAACACCCTGAGAGACAGCGGATAAGCCAAGAAATCACAGTTGATACTGTAGGAAAGCCCCATTCATGCAGTAGACTCCAAAAAAAAAAAAGAATGATAGAAATTTGAGACCCAAGTAGGGCTGTTTACATTCTGTTGCCTTCCTGATTGGCTGGTAGCCTGCCTCTGAAAGAGATTTATTGGTCAGGGGTCAGAAACTTCTCCCTACATATTGCAATGCAAGCATCTAAAATTCTGTAAACCATTGATGTACATGCAATGTCTCCTTTTACTAAACCTCAAGATTATATACTACTATACTGTGGATCATGACAAGAAAGATGCTCTAAGTTGTTTGAGGTTGTTTTGGTTTGGTTTAGGTTTTTGTTTGTTTGTTTGACTAATTCTCCTGTTAAACCAATCTACCATCTAGCAGAATTCAATCACCAAGGTCCAAAGTGATTTCTGGTCAATGGAATCTACTATGTCCTCATTTTAATGAGACAAAAGGAGGTTAAATTACTTTCCTTTGTTCTCACACTTCAGGATATTGATTGTCAAGAACTTTCCCCACAGGCAGATTGTCAGGGAGTAAGATTTTAATATTGCTGAAGTTTTCTCACTGTTCCCCATTAAGCAAGAACAAGTCTTAGGAAAAACAGCAGTACCAAACTGAAGTCACTTGGGAGTGCATTTTGGTTGGATAGACAAAACCAAATGATTGACACTAAAAAATACACAACTATGTTATTGGCATCCTGCAGACCAGCTCTGAATTCCTGGGTAGTGGCAGAACACTGTAATGGGGGGGGGGGGGAGAGAAATGAATTTGGAGTCAGCAGATTTGGGTTTGAATCCTGGCACTGCTCCTTACTAGAGTGCTGGGCCTGGAGTCATGAAGACCTTAGTTCAAATCCTGCCTCACACACTTAATAGCTGCAAGACCCTGGCCAAGGCACTTAACCCTGTTTGTCTCAGTATCCTCAGATATAAAATGAGCTGGAGAAGGAAATGGCAAACCACTTCATATCTTTGCCAAGAAAACTCCAAATAGGGTCACAAAGAGTCATACATAACTGAAACAATGCAACAAACTGCTACTTCATACTGTTACCCTAAGAAAGGGACTTTTTCTCTCTCTGTGTCTCTCTGTCTCTCTGTCTCTCTGTCTCTGTCTGTCTCTGTCTCTGTCTTTCTCTCCCTCCAGCAATTTCTTTATCCAAAAATAAATAGATTGGACTGGGTGATATCTATGACAATGGTCTTCTTACTATTCCTCACACAAAACACTCCCACTCCCAAATCTGTGCTGACTGCCCCCAGCATGCCTGGACTTCTCTCCGCCTTCACCTCCTAGTTTCCCTGGCTTCCTTTGAGCCTCAGCTAAAGCCACCTTCTGCAAGAGGTCTTTTTCAAACCCCTTCAATATTAGTATAGTGCCTTTCTTCTGAGATCATTTCCAATTTACTCTGTATCTTGTATACATACACACACACACACACACACACACACACATATACATATATATGTGTGTATGTATACACACAGACACACACACAAACACACACACACAAACACACACATACAGATACAGATATAGATATAATTTTTTTCATATTGTCTCCCCCTTTAGATTATGAGCACCTTGAGTGCAGGCTCATTTTTGCCTTTCCTGTAACCCTGTCATGCACAGTGCCTGGCACAAAAGCGATGTTTGATAATTTTCACTTGACTTGGTTTCAAGCTCTAAAGCTGTGCTTCTCTACCTTCAACTTCTGACCTTCAAACTAAAACAAAAACAAAATGTCAGGGTGCACCTTTCTAAAGGCAAGAGCTGCCAAAGACGAGCCACAGTTCTGACGCTGCTCCCCTTTTCTTCCCAGTGTTTGTTCCCTTTAAGCAATGACTGCAGTGTCGCCATTAATACCTATAGTTCTGAACATCACCAGTCACTGAGAATCAAACCATAAAATCTGAAACGCAAGGAATTAATAACTTTTCCCAGTATCCTGGAACCAAATATAATTTAGTGTGTTGTTTTGACTTTTAAATATGATAAATACTTCTGATAGGTATTTTCCCCAGAACCATGACTTTATTGATATAGGAAAGTAGCACCAAAAAAATATCTTCTACTAATGTGGATTGGCAACTGACTCTGAAAGCCTTTAGGATTCCACAGGGCTCCTTAGGTAGTTAAAGGTTAAGTTCACAGGGTCATATTGTCAGGATATGGCAAAGGCAAAGACTTGAACTTTGATCTTCCTGCCTCCATGGGCAGTTTTCTTTCAACTACCCCACATTGTCTCAGATAGGCATAAAGGATAAAATCACATTTCTGACTTTCAACAAAGACATGCTTTTCATATAAGAAGACAATTGAGCTTTCTCTTTTAGCAATGGATGTAACACACCTGAGCATTTAGCCTATTGTATGAGATAGGTCAAGGATCACTGCCTTCTCTGTGTAGCTAGAGTGTAAAGGGAGTTTGGTGGAAGCCAGAAATAGATTCAAAGCAACGGCTTTGAGTGGTGGTCTTAGAAAAAGAAGGAGGTGTTGTAAGGAGCAACAGCTCAGAGAAAATAAGTGAGAAGATTTGAAAGACCCAGAAAAGAAATGGTTTAGGAGTTTCTTTCAGAAGGACATTTAATTCTCCTTCCCACCCCCAAACCCCAAAGCTTTGCTAGCCCAGTGTTCTTAGTATCTTCCATTCTGACCAATCCCAATTCATTAAAGCCTCACGCCACCAGAATATCTGCAGTCTTCTGGTTCCTTATCAAATGAAATGAGGAGATGTGATGAGATGGTCTCTAATGACTTTGATACCTCCAAATTCAAAATTCAATTAGAAGTCCTGGGAATTCAGAAGATCGACCAAAGGGTGAAACCAACATGTATTTGTTGATCATGAATTATATCCCTAACACTCTACTAGGTCCCATGGAGAACAGAGGAGTACTCAAGTATAGAACTAAGTCTCGATTCTCATGGGCTTTATGATCAATCTATGAGCAGCTCCACTTTTGGCCAATAGTTTCCTTTCACCTCACAAATTGGCACATCGCTTTACAACTGGTTTATGACCTTTTCTCAGTCTTCATAAGCCTTTGATTTCTCTCAAGATTTTTGTGCCAAAATTGATCTTCTCAGACTCCCAACTTTGTAATCTTAATGATTCCTTAGTCTCATTCACTCCTTATAGAAAATCAATTGCCAAATCTTGTTCCTTTACTACCCTCCCAACTTCTCTCATGGAATTTCCTTTCTTTACACTTATATTGCCTTTACCCAAGTTCAGGCCCTTAACTTCTCTTACCTGGACTCTTGTAAAAGCTTCCTAATTACTCTCCCTGCCTCAAGTCTCTTCCCACTCCAATCTATCCTCCATTCAGGGCTAATCTTATTCAATAAACTCCTGTGGCTCCTTATTCTCAAATATGCAGTCTTTTGTTTGGTATTTTAAGTTCTTTGTAACCTGACTCCTTCTACCTCTCTGGTTTCCTTATACTCGATTCATTTTAGCTATACAATCCATCAACATCAACCTATTTGCTATTCTTTGCACATGCTGCCAGGAAGTCTAACCCTCCTTACCTCCACCTCTTATCTTCCCTGACTTCCTTCAATACTCAGTTCAAATCTCATCTTCTACAGGAAGTATCTTTCAGTCCTTTCAGTTGCTAGTACTCTCCCCTTTAAGGTTACTTTCCATCAACTCCATATGCATCATGTACTTATACAGTTACATTTTATCTCCCCCATTAGAATGTGATTTCCTTGAGGGCAGGGACCATGGTTTTGCACTTCTTTGAATCTCCAGTGCTTGACACAGAGCCTGGAACATAGTCAGTGCTCAATAAGTGCTTGATGACTAATTGATTGTTGTCCACCTTCTCCTCCTGTATTTTCTTTCATTTTTTTTTAAATCTTTGGCTTACATCAAGCCATCCTCTCCTCTGACATCTTTTTTTCCCCTCCTTATCTGCTTTGTGCTATTAGAATTTATCTCTTATCCCCCAAAATTCTGTTCTAGGACTTCTTTTGTCTCCCTATTCTCTGTATTTTAGTACTCACACTAGTTCCCAAGGGATTCAACCATTACCTCTACTCAGAAGATTCCCAATCCTATAT